AGGTTGTTCTGAAAGCCTTTGGCCATTTCCATGTGTATGTGTGAAATCTCCAGGGATAATTTTTGAACATCCATTGTAAAACGTATGTGAACCCCAGTCAATGATCTCACCAGAGCGTCTCTGCCGTGGTATTTCGCAGCGATTATGGCTGAGAAAATCGACTTTGACAGAAAACATATTTGGCTACTCCTGATTTTGAAGAAACGCGTCAATGGAAGCGATGCGGCAAGAGCCTTACGTCTTGCGATGGAGCTTCAGAGTGTCTTTCACGACATGGCAAACATTTGGTTGCCGATGTCCAGAAACTCAAGAAAAAAGCCCAAAGTCGGTTGGCTTGTTACCCTGAGTGACGAGTGTCTCTGGAGTTGTCTGAAAACAGTCTCTGGTGCAATGCACACTAACAGACACAGCTTTACTGCAGTCATCATAACACAATAGCCATTCCTCAATAGCTTTCAAAAAGAAGAGAAATTATGGAAAAAGGGGATTTCGTGATCTGGGTGACAACCGCTATCAGAAGCCTTCAGATTTTGAATGAACATTTTGATTTACCGGCTGTATCTTGTTTGACCCGACTACTTTGTTAGTGGTAGCAAGGAGTGGGTTCCTCAAGTAAACCACACCCGCGAGCGCCACTGGCTCAGACGCGTAGAACCAGAGATTCCGACGTCCACTCCAGCACTGCAACTTGAGAGGCAACTTTCAGACTTGGTAAAGCTGCAAGCGATCCGTTTGCCGACAGCTCCTACCAACAAACTTCGCTGCTGTTGTAGTTCGATAATGTGGACAAGCGGAGTGGATCTCATGCACTATGCGTAGAAAACATTACAAAGATCACTTTATCCAAGCAACGCTCATCAAGGGATTTTGAAAAAGGGCCAGCAAAAGTCTCCAAGCTCCTTATGGGATGTCTGTCTCACCAGTTGTGTTCAGCAGATCCGGCCCCAACAGAATACCGTTTGCTTCTGTTGCTGCTGATTCAACTAAAAGAGGGAGAGCTTTATGTTCCGGACTACTCGAAAACGGACTTCCTCCAGTTTTTTGCCTTGAAAGCTCAGGACTTCTAGGCAAACGGCATCCACAAGTCACCTGCTGAAAGGCAATATGTTGACGATCACGATGGGGCATATGACTGTAATTGCTGACTGGCCTAAAGAAGAAAAGTGGATTTGAAAAAAAAATCGACAAATGGCCAAAGACTTTCAGGACAACCTAATATTTTGCGAGACCCAGCCTCTATTAACACACTACGGACCGCCGTTGCGAGTTCCGCATGTGCAAGTTTTATTCTATTATTAGCTTTTCATCAATTATCACTAGTTTCTCAAATTTTTTGACAATATTAACATCCGTGTTTTTCGGCCCTCATTACTTATATACAACTGCAGAGGACATTTGAAAATTTTCACAAAAAGGCTTCCGTGTGGTTAAGCACATTGTGTTTGATTCAATGCGCTTGGTTTCTCCCACATTGTTCCGAACTATGGAAATTTTTTATCAGGCTGGCCTGCCCTCTGATTTTTCATCTTAGATTGTCAAATAGATATTGGTTTTTTGACTGGATACGAAACCGCCGCAATGGAGTATGCCCATGCCCAATCGGTGTTGATCATGGGCGAAACGCTTGCAAGTAATACTCCGTTCGATTTTTCTCGACAAAGTGTCACCAAAAGGATTCAGACCGCTTTACGTCAAGTTGAGCACAGTAAGTGTTTCCTCATGCTGGCTTAGCGTCATTCAGATCAGCAACTCGATCACCATTACGGTTTCCAGATTGAAAGCCATCCCCCCAGCGGAAGTCTATTCGCCTTCATCGAAAGCTTTCGGCTTCGAACTTGCTATCGCGCTACAAGCTGAAAGCTGTGGTCTCATGTGGTGGCCTTTTCAATGAGATTTACGATAATTACGCGTTTGGAGAAGATGGCAGAGACATCGATATCGATTCTGAACCCGAAGTTTCAGAAAAATCATCATAATAAGTTTTTGTACTTTTGTTTACGACTCTCTACCTCGTAACTCATGTCACTTTGTTTAGGTTACTAGATCACTTTGTTAAAGTTACTAGATCACTTGTTAAGGTTACATAGAGTGAGATTTCTTCTTCTTTTTTTTTATTTTTTTTCTCTGCGTTTTCTTGTGATTTCAAACATTAGAAAGGGTTACAGCGCAATGCTGATTGAAGAGAAACCTTTCACAATGCTTTTTTGTGATAGCATCGACTAGTTAAGGAAAGTAGTGCCTAGTCTATAGAATGAAATAGGATTGTATACTTGCCATGTTCTCTAGAGTTTTAGGATATTCATTCCTAGATATTCCGAGACATTCTTAAATGTCACGTTCCTTTGTTGTACAGTTAATAACGTGAACATGTTCTCAGTTGCGATTGTTGAGAGTTTTTAATGAAAACTTTGAGATTATTTTTTGTCCTGTAAGCAGCGTTACGCGATTATTACTGCACTCCATTCTGTAGCTTACTGTTGTTTCGGGCGTAAACATAATTTTTGTTCAGGCTTTTTCATGGTGTCTCCGCTGAATTGCGGTTACGATCTGACGCAGAAAGCTTTGCTTTCCCTGAACCTTTTCTAGTGTAAGCGTCTTGACTTTTCATCTTTTGCCCATTGCAATATACTTCGGCATACAGTACATAAAAGCGCGTGTAGGCTAAAAGCCACACAATAAGTCGGCGGTCAGAACAACCATAGTATGGCCCAGAAGAATGCTTGAGGGGCTTCAACATCTCCACTCGCATTGGCCTTTTTTTCTAATGGAAGAACGTATAACTGCATGAAGTGATCAATACTTATCCCCTTCTCACGCGGTAGTGTGCAAGCCTTGAGAAGATGGCCAACGTACCTCTTTGCCTTGTCGCGTTGCATTACGGCGAATAACGGGACCTGCTAATCTCAACAACGTGCCTGATGGCCGAAAATTCCGCTCTATAGTGTTACTCTCGGTTTCGATCGCTCAGTGATAGTTTCACTTTTTTTTTATCACCTTGCAATTATTAATGATCAGAATTCAATCCGTTATTTTCGTACTCGATCTGCTGCTGGCGATGTTTCCTTATAACTGGTGGCTCTTCTTGGGACTATCGGAACGAAAAAGCACATCAGGCCATGCTCCTTACTTTGGTCATTGATAGGTGAAAGCTTTACATGTGTTCCACGTGGCTGAACGCTGAGGTATTTCGAAGCAGCGGCCCTACGAAGGAGTTACGGGATTTTGTTCATCTTTTTCATAAATAAAGATGGTTTTATCGTCAAGTTTTACGCCAAATTTTCGGTAATACATGCTCTAGTGAATACGTAACTTACCATTAGCATACACGATACTTAAGCTCTCATATATCAAAGTTCTTCAGTATATGATCATACTGTCGTGTGTCTTCATCATTCAATTTATCGTGGCAGTCGTTTGCCTCGGGAAATGTCTCCGAAAGCAGTCTGGAAGAGGTGGGCAACTTTATCTTTCCAAATCAACTTTTGTGCGTTTCATCATTTTATTTCAGGTCGTGAGGAGTGGATGGAAAAAATCGGATGCGGCTGTGAAGTGGGATGCTCAGAAAGCATTCAGTTGTTGCGGATTGGAGAAGGGGAGCCAGGGAAGTGCTGACTGTAAAAAGGTTAGAAACTCCGAAATAATCATTTTAAGTGGCCATTTTCCATAATTTCCTGTGCTACGCAATTAACTTTATCTCCGTTCGTTGCAAATTGTAAGAATATGAAAACGTTCTCACATTCTCTTCATTGGTTTCTTGCCACAGTTATGTGTTCTCATGTTAATCACTTTCCAACACTCAGTATTTGTGCACGCTTTTTTTAAAGCTGTTTTACTCCTTTTATTTTCGTTGACATGAATAAGATTGAGGAAAACCCAAAGAAAACATCAGAATGAGTTGCGATAGATTGAAATCTCTCTAGTTTTCTTCCTCTGAGCCCGATCTGCTCTTTTGCTGTAGGTTTTGGGAATCGTATACTTTAGTTATATTTTAGCTTCAATGCTGGAACCAATGTGAGCCATGTCTTCCTATTATTGTCGATGTAACGAGCAGTAATCTGTCAAGAGTTGGACTGCTGGGACTTTTCTTCAGTTTTACCGAGGTAGGTGTTTCGATCATCTCCTGCTACAACTACGGTGAACCGCGTGTCGAGAAACCTTAGGCCAAAGCAAACTTCCCTCTCCCCCATGAAGTACGATCTCCTTCTGCTTACCCACATTTCTTTACGACCCTCGCAACTTATCCTCCTTACCTTCTAATCGCCGATGGTGCCAGTAGCTTTGTTTAGCCTTGACTACGTGACGCACTTCCAATCCCCCCCTCCCCAAAGTCAATCGAAGAGGGGTCTATATGCCGATGAAGCAGCAAGTTTTACACTCTTACCGCAGTTCACTATGCCTGCTCTACTCTCTCCCTAACAAACAATGGCACCCTTAAAATAGTAAATTACGGTATTCACCTTCGTAAAAAAATACATACCACGTCATTTTCACCAAAAATAAGACCCCCTACCCTCTCCAACCAAGGCAGCAGTGCTGGTTTCGGAGTTCTTGCATGGTTCCACCGTGTCTGTAAATCAACATAGGAATTCATTTATTCTAGCTGGTTGGAGTATGGTTGGCGTATCGTTTCCGCAACACGAGAGATCCCAAGATTGATCCAGAAACACTATTCCTTTGAAGAGTAAAGGAGAGTACATATATGATAGAAGTTCTTTGACAAACTAAACTATCTGTAGCATTAGTTCTATGTATTGCTGTCCTTCCTTGCGTTGTTTCCGATGTTTTCCCTCTTCCTTCATTTGCTTCTTGCGGATGATAATGTTGTTGCTGACCATGAATAAGAGAAATTAATTTTGTCTTTGAAAGTTCCTAATTCGTATCAATTTGACGGGGATTTGAAATTCTCGGGATCAAGTAAAGTAGTACTAGTAGTTTGTTCAATCGAATCATTAGGATTAGTTGATTGCTCAAGAGCTTAATCTCATCTTGAGATTTGTTGTGATGAAATAGCGTCCGGAATGATTTCTTCAGAAATTATTGTTCTGCCTAACAATTGAAGGTTTTACACAAACCTCTACCTCGGTGATGCTCGTTCGGCGACTCTGGTTTCAAGAGGAATTTCCACACATTGGTATTCATCTGTAGCCATCAGAAAATCTGCTATTATTGATGTTAAGATCTCAGCAGAGTAATCTAGTTCAATTGTATGCTTTAGATCTCTGTTTCATTCCATTTCTGGTTGTTTACATATTGACAAGTTGGTTGCTTCACTTGGAATTCTGTTATTATCTCTTACATTCCGTAATCATCGGTTTTGTTGTTCATCACAACTCCGGTACCATGATTCCCATATTTTTCTCTTCTCGTATTAGTTTGAAGGAAATGAAGTAATTCCCAATGGTATTGGTATTGCCTCAATTTTTCCCTGTTTAATAACAGTGGATACCTTTTATTCCACCTATATGCGTCGAAGGGGTGGAAGTGGGGTAGTGTCAAGTGGTGTATTACCACTGAATAATCTATGGGGCTTAAATCCTGGCCACAACCGGGTCAGTGTTGTAAGGAGTATGGGCGGAAGTGGTGTAGTGGCAAGTGGCACGCTCACCACGCGAGCGGTCCGGGGATCAAATCCTGGGTCGTGAGTCGCCCGGGCCAACCAAGCCTTCCATCCCTCCGGGGTCGGTTAATTGGTACCAGAACTTGCCTGAGACTCTTATCTGAATCCACCTTTGCCAACTTGTCTGGGAGGGATAAAACACTCGACCTGTACGTCCGGCTGGCCCACCGCAATCATTTCATGAGGGCAGAGGTACTGTAATGGCAAGTAGCACAGCATACCGCGCATTCGATCGAGGAACCGAATCCTAGGTAACATCTCGTTAGGTCAACCCAAGCTCCTGTCACTGTGGGTTGATTATGTGGTAACAGATCCGTCTGGAAGGACAAACATATCTACCTGTTTACATTTGGCTCCAAAATCACTGTTCACGCTTGATGTCATTCAACTTGCCATTACGGTTCTAAACGAAAGTAGAAGGGTGGCGTATCTCGGAATGGAAAATCATCCTCCAATACCAATGTCGCTTGGTGGAAATAAAATGGCTGTGAACATAAGGAACACTTTCACACCTCTTCAGAAAATTTCTTGTGCCTTACGAGGTTGTTTGGTGGAACCTTTATTATTTCAATGGCCTAACGTTTCGAATCGTCGTCTTCAAAAAGTCGCGGTGGCCACATTTTGAGGCGGAGAGGTCCTCTGCCCACGAGGCGTCGAGTTCAGTCAGTTGTAAATATTGTGCCACCGGACCTTGAAACCTTGAAGACGTCAACGATTTAGTCGAATTGTTAGGCCACTGAAACAATAAAGGTTCCATCAAACAACCTCGAGAGGCTCAAGAAATTTAACAACTGTTAGGTATTTTACAGCCATTTTCTGTGAAACAGGCATTGAAGTTGAAGGAGATGGCATGTGCTGACATAGAATGCTCACATCAATTGATCCTATAATTAAGAGTTTTTCTCCGGCTGACCTATTGTATTGTTTTTAGGGGTCTCCCTCGTACTTGGTTGTGATTAGATCATGTTGCCGGATCTTTCGCCTCATCTCCATACTCGAGAGTGTAATCTGCTAATCGAGTTTCTGCAGAGATGCAACAAAGAAAAAACATTCGGTACTGTGTCCATTCTTCTCATTCTTTTCCAGCTAAGTTATTCTTGTATTTGCTTTTTCAAGGAAAGAATGTTCGGACAGTGTTCATATTGGGATGAGGCTGTGTGGCAGTGTACAAAGAAAGAGCGAATTTGGCGTAGGTACGAAATAGTGACCATTTAATTCTTACAGGTTCCGATATTGAACTTTGGGTGCTCTTTGAGTGCGTTTTCTTCACAAATCAACTCGATTAATCAATAGCATGCGTTTTTCGTTAATTGAAACCACGCAATCCTCGATTTCCCCACAAAAGTACGCCGGACAATAGAGCCCCAATTCCAATCTTTCGGAGCACTGCTCGACTCTGTTCTAGAATCGGGAATTTCTTTTGTTCAAGTCGTTATTTGCTTACCATGAGCCGAATTTCTAGCTGCGTGAATGCTGAATTGGTCGCTTCTGCCGGAAGTTGATTGGCCAAAGGTTAATCTTAATGTTGATGAAAATGGGAATGGAAAGGAGTGTATCGCTAAAAAAGAACTAAGCGAAACGGTGAACAACCCTAGAAAGTACCCTATTTTCTCTACGTGATTCCAGGAGTGGACGCCTTTATCACTAATAAAGATCATGCGGGTAAATTGAATACTGTCGGCGTACCCTGAGAAAACAAGTAAAGATAGTAAAATAGCACAGTGACGATCGAGAGGCAGCTCGGGGTGTTGAGGGGTTTACCCCCGACAATGAGCTCTAAGAACCCATGAGATCGGTTCAGGGACCTTGGTCGTTGCAGTCAGCCGTCGCTCTTTCGTCGTCTTTTCTGTCCAAAGAGCGATGAATCTTGCTGATCCTTGATTCAATCGTTATGCTAATCATCAATCATTAGTCTTCACATCACATCCAGATCCTTTTGCCCGCTTTTCTGGCTACTGCGCCGTGCTACCTGGGTGCTTAACTATTCTTTAGTATAAGAATAGCCTCGTTTTTCTCATGAGAGGAACAGCTGTATTAGTTCCGCCGATTTTTTATATTTCAAATCCATTTTCAAGAATTATGACCGCTTACCATGCGCAGAATCTCGTTTAGGGAGCACAATCCGCCTTATTCGAAACGAATGGTTGAACTGCGAAACCTACCAGAAGACTATTGGACCCCTGCATTGAAAAAGTTGAAGGAGGATGGTCTCATGCCAGATTTGACTCAAAATGATGGATGTCGTTTCTGAATGCTAGCTGTTGAATCCGTTAATTAGGTCATATTTAATGGAAAATAGTCTTGATAGGGGTTGCTATAAGATGTTTGTTTTGGATTGAGCGCCGCACAATACCGCTTGATGCTATTTTCATTTATCTCTTCGAAAATGTGAGTTTTTGGACCAGCTTTCTAGTGTAGTTTATCAGAACGGGTGAGATATCTGTGGACCCTTGTTCATGCGACGCTTTTTCATGTCCACAGTGAGATGTGAGTACATGACTCCAAATTTTCTCTAGGGTCTGTTTGAAAGCGGGTTTTGTTTGGAAGGTGTCGTATTTTTATGACTACTCATATCTGGGTTGAAGGCGGGGTGTAGTGGTTCGAGAATCTTCTAGGGCGTAAGGTCCCACGTCGTCGCGGAATTTTTACGAGCACATGCAGAATTCTTCAAGATGTCATTTAGTATCGTATACTTGATATCGGAGAGTTGGGGTGGGCGTGTCACCGGAAGTGACGTGCACTTGATAGAAGCT